GCATCAGGTTAATCTTGGTTATCCCCTGGGCCTTCTGCCGGTCGAATTTGCAAGAAACAGTTGCTTAGCCTTCCTTTCATGAAGCATTCGCAACACATGCCCAAGCCATCGCAGCTCTGACTTCTCAGTCTGTAGAAGCAAAGGCTGTAATCCAAGGCTCTTCCGGATGTCACTATTCCGGACCATTTCGAGACGAGTAAGGAAAGCGACTCATCTAAGAAAGCCTTTTCAGCATACATACATGTTCGAAACTTAAAATATTAATTGTCATCAAAGCGTTTATTAATTATCTTTTTCAATATATGAAGCACCAAAAATATGTTAAGTTAGACTCCTGAAATTACGTTGGGTTTAGCTGACAGTTGAAAAGATACACCAGCCCAGGAGACAAAAATAGTTTTAAAGTTCACGGCTACACAAGACTTATCGCTGCGGATGCATCTATCTAAAAAATGTCAACCGTAACTCCAACGAAATGACTGTGAGGGACAGTTTCGAGATTAACTTGCAAAACTTTCTGTACTTTACAAATTCACCTAGTTCGAAAATATTGGTTGGTTCAGTAGAAGCATGAACTTATACTAATTTTACTAATTACTAACAGATTTTTATGGATTTGCCAAATAAACAGGCAAAACCTAAATTTTGTCAGGTTAAATTGCATTACGTATTAGCGACTCGTCTATTGCACCTGCACGTCCTTAATATCACTGCACAGTACACAGCTTTCGTAATTTTATCGATTGCGCTTGTATTACGTCATCTGATGATGCAGTTCGATTCGTAATGTCAGAATTATTTTTATTAAAACTGACATAAGGCGTACACCCTTTAAAGGTTATACCGAAAAAGAAATTTCTACCCGCATAAATGATTCAAATACATCTTTAAAACAGTCACTAAGCTTCTTATAGCATTAAACGCTAATCCATTATTTGCAGTCAAGCATTGTGAAAGCATTTACAGAAAAGTCATGGCATAATTTTGAAAAGTCCTTTCACGAATTGAGTGGAAACCATCAGCGCTGATAGTTTCACTTAATTCAGTAGGTATGGTTTAAAGGCCTTATCCAAAAAGAGATCATCATCTGTATAGCAGAGAAAGGAATCGCATCTTTATGCAAGACCATGCTTTAAAAAGCTGTTTCACTGCCATGGAATGGCACACATACACCTCTTATTCATCCTCAAAGAAAGCATGGTCCATTCTATTGAACATGCAGAGTATCATCTGAACAGACGACACTAAGACAGCAGTCTTCAGAGACATCAGAATGTGGGTAGACAGCGCAATTCACCATATGAACTGCAAAAACTTCGGAAACAACACATGGTCACATCAACTTACAGCTATGCATCCATTTCTCTGAGAAAAAGACGTTTGAAGACATTCAGCTGACACAGCCAGCTATGGTAGCGGTGTCTAGAATAAGCTGAGGGTAGCATCTTCTTACCCTATGCCGTAAGATGGACAAATTTTCTTTACGAAGCAAAATTCCTTTCTTACAAAACGTCGTCTCACAATTTACTGATGCACTGGCGAAGCATTATCTAGAGTGCTGCCATTAAAAGGTGAAACGGTGCAAAGTACAGAGCAGGGTCATGAACGCTTTGCATCTCTGATGAATAACATGAGTAAGTGCAAATTGCGAATATCCATTTTTGACTAAACTAATAGTTTTTACAAAAAATGGTATCATTAGAATGAAACGAAAACAAATTTAACATGTAAACGTTGCTGCATGAAATAGCATTTCGGCATAAACGCTTATGTAAAAAACGTATTTCGTCACGAGCATAATTATGAATACACAGCGGCAAATTGCCTAGCTTACTATATATTCCCAAGTAATTATCATTCGTAAGGTTATCAGTAATCATCTATAAGAACTGCACACAAATGGTAATCCATTAAAACACAGTAGTCTCGACAATAAGCACAGACGTACACATGACCGAAGCGAAAAATCATCGCGCGACATTTTCATTCCGAAAAACTGACCAATTTAATACAATTACAAATGCATAAATCATAAAACGTCCTAATAAGACAAAACATATGGCGTTAATATCTGAGACTGCATTCCAACATTTCAGATGTTCTACTTTGATCCTACTTTAACCTGTGATCGAAGAAATAAAAATTGGTCATGCAAGAGCGAAGAATTACAATTCGCTAATTGTCAAATTGTCCCAAAGGCAAACACACAGCGGCAACGACGAAGACGACACTAGAATCAAGCGGGCAGCAACGAACAGACCAAACGGTCATTACCAAACTACTAGTACACAAACATAATTCGTGTCTGACGGACGACCTGTCTTCTGCTATGCACTAGTACCACAGCAAATCCCAAAAGCCAAATTCAGAATCAGAATCTGAGTCGTCCAGGCTCAGCACATCCAATTCGTCCTCGACGCGCAGGTCCCACAGCCATGAGCTGTCGCTGCCACCGTCAAATGCGTGGTCACGCTCCTCGAGAAAGTCCCATAACAAACTCAGGTCACCGGATGGTCCGTATCCGTGCGCTGAACGGTGGTTATTTCTGCGCATTCTTCTGCGTACCGTTCGTGGGCTGTCTCCTTCGACTACGACGCCGTCTGGTCGCACGTGACGATAGAAACACTTGTTGCCGAATGGGCATTCGCCATCGCCGTTGGCAAAGTACTTACAGTTCTTCGATTTCATTGATGCTTTGTATACCTCGGTCAAGCACGCTTTCTCCTCGTCGGTTTCCACCCAGAACGTCGACGGAATGACGAAGTCTGACATCACACGACACTCAGGACAAGACCTGTAAAACAAGTGACTATCGAGAACCGAACATAAGGTAGGGAATGTAACAATGCACACCAGTTTATGACTTTAATACGTATATACTTGACGAGGATATCAGCAAAGAAAGAGACACACTACTTATAACGATAATCAACTTAATTTAATGGCACAGCATCATTCGCCTTTACTAAGGTCATCCGAACGACTTTTTTCAAGAAATTCATCGAAAGGGTCTGTGGGAGAGGAAGCTTGACGAATCATATCATTTGAACGGGCGACAGTTTAAACAACCACTTTCGAAAAGATTAAAAATGAATCACTCATGTCAATAAAATTCCAAAATAAATAATGGCGGCGCAGTAACGTCATCTAAGCCCATAAAGCATATCGCAATTTTTCCATAATTTGACGTCATCATTTGATAACCTACGTGCATCAGGCTTCTAATAATCTTGGATGATTCATTATACTAATTCGAGATTGATTTTAGTTGTCTTGCACTCTATACTTTCCTAGATTCCTCTCCATGTTTCATTTCTTTGTTTCTTTTATCTGACTCATTCCTATCTGAAAATGGCGTTAATAATTATTCTATAACTCTAACATACAAGTCAGAAGCTGGATTATTGAAATAATACAGTACTTGAAACTTGGTCGTTGAAGGTCCCAAGCCCGGTTGCAAAAGGAGGAGGGTTGGAGATCGAGGCAAGTCTCCGTATAACTTAGCCACCTACTACTCATGGTATTCACCACATCGAAAATTATACCGGCTCGGTCGTCGACTGGGCTATCAAGAAACACGCAGGCTGTTGGGGGACTGATGCAGACTGCGAAAAGTCGGCGATCGGAACCTGCTCATCGCCCTCTGCCAGCCGGGGACGTGGCAGCACAACGACGGCTGATGAAGACTGACGTAACGGCGACGAAGATACCAGTCAGCAACGGAGTCGCTACCCGTTTTGAACGGAGGAGGGAGACAGCGCGATGCCATTACAGCACGTGAGAAAAGGCTCCACGGAAACGACACCACCAGTGGGAGCTTAAAGTCGGAAATTGGAACATATCCTCACTC